TTTAATTTGTTAAGTGGTTATTACAAAAGCAAATAATTCTGAAAATATGAGGATTAGATAGAATAAACTCGGGACAATTTAACCTGTTTTTTTTTCTGTGAGCTACATAAAATCCGTAAATAACCTGCATGATGTGCCAAGTTCTGAGACGTTAACGTTAAAGTAATTTATAAAATACGGTTAGCAATCAGTGTCTTAACATAAAATTACGTACACTGTAATTTACGGCAAGTAATTCTCCTTGACTGTATCTAAAGACTGGTTTTGTGAACAGGTTGTGTTACTTCCATTGTGGTCCACGTACGCGATTTTTTATTTTGACGTAGCATAAACCAGTTTGAGAAGCAATCAGGCATTTTTTTTAGTGTTATCTCTCACCCAACTCATTTGTATGCTGCTAAGTGTGAGGTAAGTTTATCTCACTGGCACAACAGTGTCATTGTAAATGAGCAGTTCCAAATGAAACACCACGTTGTTTGTTGTGGGGGTTGTGTATGGTCAATGTGAGGTTATGTGACGAGCCACTTGAAATATATTGTGTATAAAGCGCTGTATTCTCTGCCTGCTTCAAGTCCAGTAATAAGTTCGGTTGTCAGATTTCTCACTTGTCAAAACAAAAAACAGTGAAAATTAAATTTAAATTAAAATCAATACTAGAAGATTTATTAGTAGTTATGGACTAGTCACGTGATGTTTATACAGCTAGTTCCATGTGCTTATGTGGTTTATAAATAGAAAAACTTGTTTAAAAACAGAGTAAACACGCATTTTGAAGTATCTAAGTGTATGATGTTTGAAGACTTCGGAACAACAGTGGACCAACCTTTTTTTTTTTTTTTTTTAAGAAAACGAGGAACATGCAGATGAAATTACACACAGTGGCTCTAATTCAATTTTTTAAAATTCTGAGCCCATAACTCTAGCGTTTTCCACTCACTCGTCGCCCTGATGATGGAGGCAGCAAGGACCTTTGAAACGTCGATTAACTTCTACAAGACTACACGACGAAACAACGGAGAAGACAGCCATCTTCTCTTCCTAATCTTATCATCAGCCACATCTATATATTTTAAACTCCATTATTATCCCAACCTGTTTTCTAAACTCTGATGATCAATATATATCTAAAATAATTTTAACAGTTTTATAAAATTGTTACTTGTGGACTCTTTTAAGATGGCTGTCTAGTCGCGCTGTGTAGTCTGGTAGAAGTTTACCAAGGTTTCAAAGGTCCTTGCTGCCTCCATCATCAGGGCGATGAGTTATCGGACTCACCGACGATAAAACCTGAAATCCTATAATCTGGACTCTTTTTCTAAAACAAGAACCCAGATTATAATTGTCTGAAAACAAAGGTTTTGCTGAAAGTAGGCACTTGGATGATGACTGCCTTATCGGATGTTGTTCCGTGTGTTGTGGTAGAAACTGCCCAGCGTTTCGGAGGTGCTTACTGCTTCCATCATTCGGGTGATCATCACCTTAATGACGCATCATATTTTTTTCTGTTGTTTCAGGAAAGCTGTGATTCAAATTCACCACCCCCTGAACCAGCTGCTATGGGAGTGGACAATATTCCGATGGCCCTAGACCAACATTATGGCTCTCCACAACAACAACAACAACAACAACAACAGTCTGTGTTCTCAATGAACGGCCACAATAGTAACCAGAGCTTGCCGGGAACTCCAACACACAACCGTTCGGTACCAAACTCTCCTGATCCAATCGCTGCCATGGATTCAGCCAAGGCCGCTGCACATATCAATGGAACGAGTAAGATAAAATATTTTACGTACATATTTATTACATTCCACGGATCCGTAAGATAGTCAGATGACAATATAATGTGGAAAAAGTCGTAATAATAAAATATATATTATAAAGTACAATTTATACTATTATATAAATAAATTTCACATAATACAAACAAAGGGTTTACCTAAAGTAATTATAATTTACAAATAAATCTACCCATTAAATTATCACTTATTTATAAACAATATGAAGCTGATTCTTATTCCTTGTGTTGAAATATTTTATTGTTCTCCAGTTTGAAAAAATATTTGATTTGAGGGACACTATTACACTTTTGATCTCAGTTTCAGTTATCGGAATAATATTAAGACCAGCAAATTTTTACAGGAAACGTAGCTTTTAAAAAATAAAACAGCATCTTCTGTCCCTGCTTGATGTAAATTTAAGCTTTCAGTAATTGTTAGAAAAATATTATTGAAGGCATTAGCCACTGTTCCTGGATAATTTACTTTTTCATTGTTTGTTAGAAGAGATGACCTCTGTTCGGAGAAATATATTTTTCCTGTATCCCTTTTTAATATGTTCCTTGTTGTTTTTATTTTATTGTCTGATCTTTGCTATAAGTCTACTGCAATGCTGGTTTTTAGCCGCTTTAATAACATTGTTCAGGATTTTACAATACTGAATATAAAACACTCTTGCGTTTGGGTCATTACTGTTCCTACTGTAGATAAACAGACGTCTTGTATGCTTGCAAGATACTTTTATTCCTTGCGTAATCCAGTCATTCTTTATTTTGAATATACTTTCATTTTTAATTGGAAAACAAGCTTCGAAAATATTTAGAAAAGTACACAAAAATGAGTTAAGCTTAATGTTGGTATCATTGACTTTATAAATACATTCTCATATTTCATTCTTCAGAAAAAGCTGAAACTGCAATATTGTTTTATTATTTACTTTTCTTTTCTTCTGATTCAATGGTATTAAGTTAGTTGTTGCAGCAATATTATTAATCATAATGTACAGAGTGTCATGGTCTGATGGATCATTTATTACGGGAGAAGTAGAAGTTGAGCCAAGTCTTGTACTATCCACAAAAAATGTTTTCAGTTCCTGGTCTCGAGTCATTTTGAATTCTCGTTGAAAAGTTTACAGTATGGATCAAATTATATGTTGTTAGTAGCGAGTTTAAATGTTTTCTTCGGGCAGTTTTCATTGAAACAGTCTATATTTATTTCACCACAGATTAAAAATTATGTTTTTGGATTATACAGATACTCTAAAGAGTAGCATGTAGTCCCCTTAGAAATTTTTTGAAAATTACGTGATGGAGCTCTGTACAGGTTTAATATAACTAAGTTAGATGTTGTTGTTGTTTTTTTGTTTTTTTTTATTTTTTATTATTATTATTATCTGGCTGAATAACACAAATTTCTAAATCCTGTTATGTAATGTTGTAAATTGATTGCTCGCTGACTTTATTCTTTTTTTTTTGGAGGGGGGGTACATTCAGTACACCAGAGTGTGTTATGACACGTGCTTGGAATGATTGTCCTGTCTTACGACAGAAAGCGGAAATGACAGTGTTGTGCTTTTTTTGTGTGTGTGTAGTGGCAGGTATGGTCACTCTTCAGAACCTGCAGAACCTTGCAACTCTGCAGAGTCTACCACAGGTTGCCTCTCTTGCCGCCGGTCTGCAGGGGATGGCTGGTCTTGGGACACAGCTCATCAACACTCCTCTCAACCTCAGCGCGAGTGCGACAGGTGTGTTTACATTGTTCCTTTTGTGTCGCCAGTAATTATCACCAAGTACAGCCAAAAATTGCAAAGCTTTACACTTTCAAATTCCAAATTTGCTCTTGAAAAGTACGATACTGCATCTACCCACAACTGTTGATGTTCGGTGGTTGTGTCAGGTTCGCTGCCGTCGAACTGTGCCAGCGCGTCTCCTGCACACTCGGTGGGGAACCTACTCGCCTCGGCTGCGACGCAACCCCAGCTCCTGGCTGCCCCGCAGCCAGCCGCCATGCCTCAGTTCATCCTGGCTTCAGGTCAGCTGGTGCAAGGCATTCAGGGGGCTCAGCTGCTCATTCCCACTTCACAAGGTACAGTCCGCCTGTTTACGGGACCACGGACGAATACTTGTTGAAGATCTTGAATTTCTTTTCTTTTATAAACCTTAGGAAATAAGAATAATTAATGAGAATACGCAGCCTTCTTTCACACAGAAGAAGAATATAAATATAATTTTCAAATAGAAATAGCGAAAGTATTTACGGATTTAATGGCTCGTGTCGTTGTGAGTGGCCATTGTTCATCGAGTAAAAAATATCAAATCGTTGTGGATTAGATGGGTGAGACATGTAGCATACATGAGGAAATTTAAAATTCATACAAGATTTTTGGTTGGAGAGCCAGAAGGGGGAGACAACTCAGAAAACACGTGCGTAAATAAGAGGAAAATATTAAAACAGATATTGGAGTGACAGAGTGGAGTGGATTCATCTGGCTTGGATACAGACAAATGGCAGGCTGTTGTAATCATAGTAATGAATTTCTTATATTTTATTAAAGTCAAGAAATTTGACTAGTTGGGTGACTGGCAGCTTCTCGAGGAACACTCTGTTCAGTGGAGTTGGCTAGTTAATCAGTTATCATCTGTAATAGACATGAAACTGGAAAAAAAAAATACTCCTCTGTGTCTTCAGTTCCTGTGTGATGGGATTTTCACTAAAATCAGATTTGTATATTGCAGGAATTGCTACGCAAACCATTCTTACAATTCCAGTTAACCATGTGACAAGTGGGCAGATGGTGAATCTTGCACTAAGCAATGGACAAGTGGTTACAACCACACTTGCTAACTTGCAAACGCTAGCACAGCCTCATCACCTCCTTGCCCCAGCATCTGCAGCTGCG